CCACATTGCGCTGCTCCCACCAGTCCAGTTGGGAGAAAGGCCGGTGCTTGTCCAGGTGGCCTTTAACATGGCGCCGATGAACTTGGAGGGGAAGGTGGCGAAGCAAGGCCCGGATGGTGGAGGCCAGGTCGAATTGGGCACCGGACGATGACAGGTGGAATTCGGAGAAGGACTTATCAAGAGCTATGAGCCCGTCGCAGGCCATCTCAACCGACGGTTGGCTGGCAAAGAGTTTCAGGTGGGCGACCTGAGACATCCATCGTGGGGGTCAAAGATGCAGCCTCCACACCATCGGTAGTGCTCAGTGCTGTTGGAGAGCTTGTGCTGGGTCCTGTAGATGCCGGGATCCTATCAGTTGGTTCCATCGTAGGGCTCAAGGATGATGTACCTTCCAAACCATCGGTAGTGATCAGTGCTGTTGGAGAGCTTGTGCTGGGTCCTATAGATGCCTGAATCCTATCAGTTGGTTCCATCGTAGGGCTCAAGGATGATGTACCTTCCAAAAAGTCGTAATCGAATTTGGTAGCAGATATTAATTCCAAGTTGAATCCATCGACAGTCACAGTGGATGTCGACTCAAACAAGTCTGCAACCTTCGAGAAGACCATATCAGTAGTCGTTTTATCGAGCCCAACAACAAACAGATTGAATGACAATGTATTCGTCCCATCAACCGGGCTAATAACTTCACCAGGTAACACCATTGCATCAATGTCATCCATCGTAAATATATAGTTGGTGATGAAATCATTAACAATCGCGGTCGCATTGATAGTGTCACTCATCTGTAACGATGTTCCGGGGGATGAGGCCAGGCGTCTATTGTTATTCATAATAGGCGCCACGCGGAAGATGTATTCTGTTCCTTTACTGACTAAGGACTCCAAGAGAAGAACAGTATCCACATACGACTGTTTCATGTCCTCCGCCACCATCTCCGAATATAGCTTCCCGAGCATCACCAGAAACTCCGCCGCGTGCACCCATTTTGGCCCACATAGCATGATCGTTTGGCCCACTTGACTCCAAAAAGCTCCTGAGATTTGGACATTCGGTTCCACTGCCCAGAAGAGATTCCACCAATCAGAAACTGGAATGAAGCAATACCCGGTTGACGCATAACATTCCGGGTGGCTATCAAAGGCAAAGGTTTCGACTTCCTCGCAACTCATATCTCTGTCCAGTGTTTCGACAAGTGCATCCTGCAAACACTGTCGAACTTTGGCTGCCCAAACAAGTCCTTCTTCTGAAAAGTCTGGATCATTTCGTAGAAAGACTTCACAATAGTGCAATCCAAAGGCAAGGGGATATCCTGAATCTCCACATTGAAACTTTTCTTCCAAGCATTCAGAATAGAATTTGCACGTTTTCCCTGATGGCTCCTGGCAGCTGGTTTTATTGACTTTCTCCGCATACAAGAACTCAACGTATTCGGAAAGCGCAACAAAAGCATCATCGACATCGTCGTCGTCATAATCTGGCACAACAATAACGCCATCATTTCCATTTAGATTTGAGGAAAAATATGCTCTCACATCTGCAGCCACCCTTTCTGCTGCGTCTTCGTCTTGAGCAACAACCAGCAATTTAAAAGTCCAGGTCTTGTCTTCTGAAATAGAGGTCTCTCCAAATCTTGTTATCTTCTCAAACGAAGAAAAATCGATGCTCACCCGCAAGAGCCAGAGTACCGTGTCCACTATATCTTCTGATTGTTCTGTCGTTAGATCGAAATAGGGCTGCAAAAGCTTGAAACTGATTTCAACCTTCCCAATGAATATGAATTCGTTGATGTTTTCTGGCCAATCTTCAAAAGTAGTAGGAATATTTATAATTGGAATGTCATAAAAGCGCCATTCATTTGTTGTCAGACCACAAGAATTCGCATATCTGACAAACGCATCCCAAAAAGCTTGGTTCTTTTCAAAATAAAACTCTAGGTCTCTCAACACATCCAACAAGTCCTTGTAATTGTCTCCACCACATATGCTGTTACCATCATTATATTGATTGAAACAATCACGGTAATGATCCACCGTAAGAAACTGCTCGAGGTCATTGCACGTCATGCCATCGGCTTTGTCCAGTGTTTCAACCAGGGAAAACTTTAGGCACCGTCGCAGCTCCCTGTACCAGGCTCTCAACCCTACCGAAAAGAGTTCTGGTGCCGGATAATGTTGGCACAGCCCAAGGCCAAAACCAAGAGCGTAACCCTCATCGTCACCACATGAATGTGATTTCTCCAAACATTCCAAATAGAAATGATCACATGAATCAAGAATTGGTGTTTGGCACTCATCGTACACCTGAGTGCCATAGGAGGCAGACTCCGCCCTAAAAAGTTCCAGCATCTTGCGAGGTACAAAATCATTACTCGTACCACTAAAACTTTTGGTATCCATCACGAATCCGGGATAAACGTTGCTGCAATCGAAAAGTACTCTTTGCACGGCATGGTTTTTGATCTACACCTCCCTCCCTCCATGATACAAGATTGACACGTCTGATACTCATCATCATCGTTGGTGGTGGTGGTGGTGGTGGGGGTGTTGGTTTTGAGACTGGCAACGCAACCTTGGCCATCGACAACTTCTCTCGATTTAAGGCTACCCACGCAATCGAGCCTTCTAGAGGGCCGGTGAAGGCCAGCAGTTTATAGCGCCAGGTCGGATTGGGCGAATCATCCCTAAAGGTAATCACTTGGGTCTCTTCGGAGCAAGAATATCCATTCTTGTCGCGCCAAGGAGGAGATTCACAACTGTAGAGCCAAGGAGGAGAACAATCAAAGGTGTATGATCCATTGTTTTGTTGGATGCATTGGGCACCATTGCACGGATTTTCGGTTGGATCCCAATAATCATATTGGCCAATCATATAGTTTCTTGTATCTCGGCACTTCTGTTCCGCAGTGCCACCACTTGCCATCACATTCACAAACGCGGAGAGTAATAACACAACAACAATTGGGTTAATCATGCAAATATTACAGTAGTTGGAACTCATCATCTTCATTATCGATGATCCTTTGAACATCAATTTAATATGCGTGAAAACGTCCGCAAGATCCAAAATTACACGCGACTGCTATGATAATAATGATGTTATACGCGACTGCGGCAATAATGATTTCCACACGACGCGACTGGATCGTTAAATTGAGTAGCGAGGTACGAGAGATTCGGGACGAAAACGAGTACGATGACAAACATGGGGATTTTACAAGATGTGTGCAAATCTCTAGGTTAAACTGTCTAACGTACGAATGACGGACACTCTCTGGTCCAATTAACGGTCCCCTCAAGGTGATACTGATGTATCAGAGAACCTTGTACTCCGAATTGGGCTAATATCAACCGTACCCCCTCTTGGGAGGACGT